GGGTTCTCAGAACGCCCGCTCCAGTTGCGGAAAAAGAGGCGAACCCTATGTATTATATTATATGTATGTAACTTAACTTATAATTACTCAATATAGGTTTATGCACATTAGGTATCAAAAACAATCATGAACCACTACAATATGTATGTATATATGGCGTCTGCTTTCACCTCAAATTCGCACACCAAAGCAAACCAGAAACAATGTGCACAACACATTGCAAATACCAATAAAAACTATAGAGGTAAACATTTGTGGGGTGGGTACCATATATACATGTAATATATCTATCTGATTTTTTAAATGTATTATATATATATATGTATATCTATTTTAAAATAGGACAAACTCCATATTTGCATCGACAGTTGCTGAGGTTTTCCTTCCACTGACTTTTCCTCAATCTCTCGCCTTCCCAATGAGGTGCCCGATCCCTTGTCCTCGCCCCGAAGAAGGCCGCAACTGATTGACGGCCCTGAGCAATTGAATCGAATTCTACGTGTTGAGGCACTGGCCGACACAGTCTGAGCACGATTTCAGTATCCAGTGTCCCAATCTCTGCTTTTGTCAAGCATTGGGTTGAACTTGCAAGCAATTTGTGCGCCCAGGATGAAGAGGAAATCAGGGGTCGGCTCAGTCAGGCGAAAGACTTCTACTCAAGTGGTACAAAGAAGCAGACAGCATCAACAAAATCAGTTTCAGGAGCTTTGTCAACAAAATATTGGCAAAGAGAATGATCAGGTTCGGACTCTCAAGAAGCAACACTTGGGTCATCCATCCATGTCGCACATTTTACTTGTGGTTGCCACACAGTACTGTCGAGATTAGTCAATTGCAGGCTCTTTCCAATAGAGATGCTCAGGCACCAAGCTGTTTTTTGCTCAATTCCTCAAAGATGCTAGAACTTGGCAGGAGACGATCCCATTCAGTGAAGGCGGAATAGAGTAGCCAACCGGAAATTGTGCAGTAATTTCATTGCCAGGCCAGGACCATCCATCGCACTGTGACCCTGAGCTTCAGGTTTTTCAAGATTTGAGTGGCTAGCGGCTAGTTACTAGTTCCTTACTTGTTTGCAAGTCTCCGAGCTCTTTTGCGCATGGTATCTCCTCACATTCCGACTCCCTGGTGAGAGTGGAGCCGAAAATTAGATGCTGCACATCACTGCATATTGTTTTTTTAAATATCGACTGGAGCACTAGAATCTTCAACTGAATATGATCGTATGAGCCATGTGTTCCATGTATGCAACTGACATGTGAGTTTTTAATTACATCATGTGCTCCAGCAAATTCGTTTCCTTGCAACAAGATAGTTTGAATTCAAAACAACTGACCGGGACGGCTGAAGGACGTTTGTTGACACCGAGACTCAGACTGCTTGGACTTGAAAGGCGATGCAGGTTTCGTTTGGACTTTTCTCCAAGTGTGGGTTTGTGCTTTTCTTTTTTCACTTTTTAAAAATCGTTTTGCACATTCTTCACATTTCCTCACTGCAAGTTTTCAACTCTTGTTTGTATATCCGGCCCGTTGGTGTGTCCATGGAGCAAACGGAGTTGCCAAAGCCATTTGCAAAGACCACCGGTACTGAATCTTCCTTGGAACATCTCCTGCAACAGACTCCGCGACACAAGCAAGGCTGTCATGAACGCTTGAGACTGGCTGCTCTCTTGGGCCATCCATTGAGCAGGTTTGCAACTTTCCGTCTGCAAGTGGGGCGAATACTGCACACCAACATGGCCGAAAGCATGATTCTATTCCTGGTCACTGTGGAACTTTGCATGGGTATAGTGGAACTTGGAGTCGAGCATGGCTTTATTTGTATGTTTTACGCAGAAGTACCCAAAGAATTAGAAGGTGCCTTCCATGGCTTTCTTTGTGAAAGTGCAGAAGGAGAGCGGACAGCATCAATGCTGGAGAGCTGCGAAGTAATCTCGCGAGCGATTGTTGGAGTTTTTGCCGTCGAAATGCTACTCAAAATGGTAGTAGCACCATTTCAAATGATCGGAAACCCTTGGCATTTGCTGGATTTGATGGTGGTCTGCACAAATCTTCTCGTGTTTTTTCATTCCAAGTCATCAGCGTCATAGCGAACGCCTCACTTTTGTCCTTCGATGGTGGCGAGTGATCAAGTTCTTAAAGTTGATAGAGGAGGAAGCTGTCCTTGTGGAAGAGCGCATCAGGAAACGGCTGGAAGCCGAAAAGGAGGAAGCAGAGGACTCAGCAGCCTTGGCCTTGTCCAAAAGAGGCCTTGTGAATGACAAGGGCGAAGCACCCGAAGCATCCACACCAGGTGGGACCTACTCTAACCTTGTCGAGGTAAGCCCACAAGGACACTCCCCGCTAGCTCCCAGAAGGACACCTGGTGCCGCTGCGAGATTCACCGCCAAGAGAGGTGCAAAGATCGGCGCTGGTCTTGGCACCGTGATTGGCACGACAGTTGGAGCTGCAGTTGGACTGCTTCCCGCGCTATTTACCTTCGGGCTGTCGATTCCAATTTTTGCAGCTGTTGGCGGGGGAGCTGGTCTCCTCATGGGAAGTGCCGTCGGGACCTGACCATTTTTTGGGTTTGCAGTTGGCACATTTTGCAGCCGCTTTGTAGCCAATCTTTTCCCGGGTGCCTTGAAACTCGATACAGGTACCTTGATTTACCTTGTAACTTTTTTGCAACTTGTATGTTGGTGGGTTGGGCCAAGGTTGGTGGTGCAACTGGCTTTGCTGGCCGATGGGTGCGCCCAAAAGCTGACTGAGATCGCAAAAAGCATCGTGCTTAGCTAACTACTTCCTAGTATAGCTTCTTGTTGCAAGTAGCGATGGCCTCCAACCTACTTGCGATGGCCTCCACCTAATAGCGTGGAATGTGCTTGCTTGCACTTTCACTCCATGAAAAGACATGCTCTGCTGATCTCTGCTGTGCAAAGTAACTAAGACAAAGAGTTTTGACGTCCTGTTTCCGCACAAAAGTTTTTCACAAGCTGTTGCTGGAAGAGGTACACTGCCAGCATGATCTCCATGATCTTAACAAGAGGGAACATGCAGGAACTACAACTCTCATTCGGAGCCTTACATGCGTCAGAGCTTGCAAGATTTGCTGCATTCGCGCTCACATGGTTGTATACTCGATCAGCTTGACGCATTGTCATGCAACACCCTTCACTCTTTTGGGTTCAAAACGTAGTGTCTCATTAAGCGCCCAATCTTGACGTGCAACATTGTGAACCAGAAGAAGGGAATTCCAGGCTTGTCAGACTGTTGTGTTTCAGTGGCTGCCTCAAACAAAACTGGCTGTATAAGTCCACACCGACTCGCATCATGTGCATGTTGTAGACTCTAGTCTAGCGACTCTAGCAGACCACTGGGTTTGGCCATGTCTTGGGAGCAAAACCCGACTTTGGAGCTGGATGATAGTGCTGACTTCGAAGTTCCCGCGAGTACAGAGAGTGAAGAAGAGGCACGGATGCATTTGATGTGATTGAGCCTCGTAACAATTACGTTGTGTGTGAAACTTGAGTTCAATCCTGGCAGGATGGTAGCAAGTCGCTGAGCAGGTGGGTTTGTTTCGGATTGCTAAGCCTATGCTGCTGTACAACTTGCGGCATAATTGTGGCCGTACTGCTGAGTCTCAAGGGTGCAGAGACATCTACCACAGCAGTGTCACTGACTGGGTGTTTAGGTTTCCAAGAGTGTCCTTCATACCCTTTGCCGTACCCGTGGGGAACATGGCCACAAACGTACCGGTACGAGGGAAGCTTTCCGCCTGGCTTTGCTTGGGGTGCTGCTTCAGCAGCTTACCAAATTGAAGGTGCCTACAATGAAGGAGGGAGAGGCGCTTCCATTTGGGACACCTTTTCTGGGGCCAATACAGTTGAAATGCCAGGAGGGAATTGCAGCTATTGCTGCAAGGTCCATCCGTGCCCCGTCAATCCTGGAGTTAAAAACAAGGGGGACACAGGAAATGTTGCGACCGATAGCTACCACATGTTTCAGACTGACCTCGCTTTGATGAAGGCTATGGGTTTGAAAAACTACAGATTCAGCATTGCCTGGCCGCGTATATTCCCGGAAGGAGAGTCTTCAGGGGATCCAAATCCCGAGGCTGTGGAATGGTACAACAGCTTCATAGATGGGTTGCGTGCAGCGGACATCACTCCTTTTGTGACCCTTTATCATTGGGATTTGCCTCAAGCTCTTCTGAGCCCACCGAATCGCTCTGGCTGGTGGGCGCGTGACAATGACGGGAAACCTGTGGGTGAAGTGCTACCTCATTGGAAGCATTACGTCGATACGTGTTTCCGGCTTTTTGGGGACCGCGTGAAATTCTGGATCACATTCAACGAAGCCTGGTCTGCTACAAAGCTTGCAAGTGGAAGTGGTAAAGCCCCAAGTGTGAAGCCCTTTCTTGACCCCATGCTTGATCCATACATTGCAGGACACAACATGTTGAATGCACATGCAGCTGCCGTAGACATCTATCGCCGCAAATACCAGTCAAAGCAGAAAGGTATGATCGGAATAGTCAATAACCTGGACTGGCGAGAGCCAAAGCAGAACAGCGAAGCTGATATTGCAGCAGCTGAACGGGCAGCTCTTTTTCAGCTTGGCTGGTTTTCAGATCCTATTTTTGGACCCAGCGGAGACTATCCCCCTGAGATGAGAGCAATTGTGGGAAATGCTCTACCAATCTTCACCGAAGAAGAGAAGCACCTCTTGAGAGGAAGTGCAGACTTTTTTGGATTGAACAACTATGGTACTGGCTGGATTTCAGCCTCGAACGAGCCTGGCTGGGACTTTACATATTCATCTGTCAGCCACGAGGGCCTGGTCCACGGCGAGTCTGCTTGGCTTTACGGGGCAGGCTGGGGGTTGCGGAAGTTGCTGAATTGGGTAAAGAGGCGGTACAACAGCCCAGCCATTTACGTCACTGAAAATGGATGGTCAATAGCTGCTTCAACGGCAGAGGAGGCGGCCAATGATACTGGAAGACTTTTGTACTACGCAAACTACACCTCGGAGGTTAGCCGGGCGATCCAAGAAGATGGGGTGGATGTCCGAGGATACTTTGCTTGGTCCCTGCTGGACAACTATGAGTGGGAAATGGGCTATGCCGAGCGCTTTGGCATCACATTTGTGGACTTCAACTTTGGATTTGATCCAAATGCTCCAATTCCAAACTCTCATGTCCCAACACCTGGCCAGCAGCTGCGGAGACGAAAGAAATCAAGCTGCTTCTTAGAGCAGGTCTGGCGAAGTAATCAGCTTGTGGATCCGACAGCACCAAACCTATGCGTTGAACCGATCATATTTCAGGGACACTACTGGGATGCCCAGAAGTGCAGGCATTTTATCGACGTGCTTTTGGGTGATGCATCTGGTTCTGTCACCGGCGCGAAACCAGTTGGTAAGTTCTGCGACAATACCACAGATTTGCCATATGGTCCTGCAGTGCTAGCATTCAGTGGCAGTACAGCTCCTTGGTTACTAAGAATCTCAGATGGTGATGGACAATTCGTTTGAGACTGGATTTTCAAACTTGTTGCAAGGCCGGTAAGTAGTCTGACAGTGACGCAGTGATCATTCTGCGATGCGCACGTGATCCCTTTGCTTTGCCTTGGCCCTTTGCCTTGATCATTCTTGAGTCCCACTTTTGAACATCCTGAAACGAGGGATTCTATGTTCAGCCCATTTTAGCCTTGAGCATGCATTTGTCAGCAGTCTGCATCAGGCTTCTTGACAAATACTGGCACTGTGCTGCCCCCACAATGCATCGTTGGGCATAGAGGGGTTCCAATTATCAACGAATATGCATGAAGACGTATGAAGACACTTGAAGACGCATGCTATTTTCATGTTGTTTTTAGGTTGTTCAGAAAAGAGAAGAAAGAGCAGTTGTTGAACAAGAAGGCTATTATTTTAAAGAGAAACGTTGTAAGTCAAGAGAGAACGCTTTAAGATGATAATTTGATATAATTTGATTAGATAAAAGAGGGATAAACTAAACACAGAAGAACATATTTGAGAGGCGGGATTGATTCAGAGAAAACCTGAACGCAAAAGAGGAGAAGGAAGGTTGCTAAGCAAAGTGCATGCTCAAACGAAAAGCAATATATATATATATATACGTATACTGCATGTTAAAAAGAGAAAAGGTCTTTTGGCCACAAGAAGGGTATGGGATTGATTAAGACAAGAGATCCAAGACGGAAGGGGCTTTCCTTTTGCAAGTTCACTCCCCCACCACGGCACCCCAACCCTGGCTCTTTGCTTTCCATTTTTAGGCATCAATGACTGCAAGGTGAGCCTACGGGCTTGCCGATTGTCAAATCCTATTAACAATTTCACAAGAGCCTCCAACCTAATAGCAACGGCCGCCAACCTAATAACGATGGCCTCCAACCTACTAGCGATGGCCTCCTCCCTAGTAGCGATGGTTTGCAAGACTTGGACACGGAGGGGTATTTATTAGGGGATTCTTTTGTTAAATATATATATATACATACAGGTTTTTCTCGCTTTATTGCTTTTGCTGATTTTGCTGCTTTTCTGCTTTTGTTGCTTCTGTTTTTTTCCGCCGTTTTTCTTCGTTTTTGCTTTTGCTGTTTTTGTTTGTTTTCGGCGCTTTCTTGCTTTTGTTATATATTTGTTCATTTGCATTTACTTTTACTGTTTTTGTGCTTTTGCTGATTGTTTGCCTTTGTTGCTTTGTTGCTCTTGGTGTTTCCCTTGGTTTTTGCTTTTTTGTTTTTAACTCGGCTCGTTTGTTTTTGTTGCTTTGGTTGCTTTGCTGCTCTTGCTTTTCAGCTCCTGTTGCTTCTGTTGATTTTTGTTGCTGTTTGGCCTACTGTGCTGCACTTGTTGCTGTTCGGTCTACTTTGTGGTGCACTACTGCGCAACTTGCACACACGCGCACACTGGGACTGCGCTCAAAAAGCCCTACTCAAAAAATATGTACACGTAAACTTTTAAGGTTGGAGATGTGTTTTTAAGTCTTCGTTTAGAAGCGGGCCCCCAGCAGACTACGGTGATACAGCAAGGCAGCGCTAGATTCGCGCTAGGTTCAAGAAAAAGAAAAAACAAGCAGAGAGCAGGAAAAAGAAGAAGAAGCAAGACAAGAAAAAGGAAAAACAAGCAAGAAGAAGACGAAGAACGAAGAAGAAGAATAATATTAATAACAATAATGCACATGAAGAAGAAGACAAGCAAGCAGAAAACATATTCTTACAGAATACAGAACTCAACGGAGGCTTTTGCGCTAGATCCGCGCTAGCACCGCGCTAGACGACGGTCAATTTCTTGACCACCTGCCCATCCAACATCCAAATCTTTCCGAGTCAGCTCTTACGTCCTTCCGATGTCGTTCTGGAAACTTCTGAGAACAAAAATGGGCAACAACTGCAGAAGTCCAGCAGCAGCAACAACAGCTCCAGCAGCTCAACAGGCCCCTGAAAAGGTCCGCGCTAGACACCTCTCAGAGCTTTTGCAGTTGACATGCCTTCATGTTTAACGTCCCCTGTGGTTTGAGTGTGGTTGGAGTTTAAAGGAGATTTAGAAGCGGGCCCCCATGGAATTGCGACTAGTGCACCATTTTGGGAAAAGACATTTTGGACACACACATACATACATACATATTTATCCTCATACATACATATTTATCTGTTTTTTGTCTTTACACGCGCACGTTAGGCAGAGAAGCTTCAATACGCTTTGCGAATATGTATGTCATGGTTGTTTTGCGGTGTTGGTGGGAAAAGACATTGAAGTACAGTACAGTACTGCTTACATGTGGTGCTTACAAGATGCATTAGAGCCAAATTTAGGCAAGAGCCAGAGGGAAGAGCCATTCCAAGGTAGCAGACCTGTTGTGAGCAACCCAAGGGTAAATTTCAGAGGAGGTAGGAACCATTCCAACATAGCGGCCATCACACGAGTAAACTTTAGAGGAGGAAGGGTTCATTCCAAGGTAGCAGACCTTTTGTTGTGAGTCATGTGAAGGTAAATTTAGAAGAGGTAGGAGCCATTCCAACATAGCTGCCCACTTGTGAGCCACCCAATTGTAAATTTCAGTGCAACGCACCCACAAAAAAGGGGCCAGCAGACCTTTTCGTGAGGGCAAAATTTAGATCAGAGGGGGCCATTCCAAGGTTGCAGACCTTTTGTAAGCCACCCGAGGGTCAAAATTTAGAGAAGGCAGGGGCCATTCCAAGGTGGCAGACATTTTGTGAGCCACGCGATGATAAAATTTGAGGAGGCCAGGCACGGGCTATTCCAACATAGCAGACCTTGTGTGGGTCAAGGGCAACTTTACAAGAGGAAGGACTTCAATAGAGCAACATGCCTGTGTGCGCAAGTGAGTCGCAGCGTGGGCACGTGAGTTAACTTTTGAATCAAGTAGGCGGAGGCGCACTGCCGACATCGCTTGCGGGCGTAAGTGCGCAAGTGAATTGCAAACCAACCGCAGCAAACACCAAAATTGAGAGAAACAAAAAACCATGGCGCAAACAACTGCGCACAGAAACATCCACCCACGGCCAGCGCCATGAAAACAGTTTTTTATTTATTGAATGTCGACCACGCTCCCTGCGCCGGGACATCAATGCGAAGCCTGCGCTACTTCTTCCAATGTACTTGGCCTGCTACAACAGCTTTGTCTCTTAAGTGTCAGCCCTGCTGCCGAAATTGTTTCCTTCAAAAGCTCAGCCGCTCACTCCGCCAGGTTGCTGTGAGGAGCAGCGAACTGCGAGTCCCAAGGATGTACCTAAAGACAATCCGAACTAAACGTACACCCCTTGGACACCATACCTTGAACCTTCTGTTTTCAGCCTCGCTTTTCCTCACGCGTCCTCACGTATCGTCGTCGCGCAGTGTCAGCGAAAAGATCGCACACCGCCCCAACCCATTTTATTTACATATATATATTTATTTACATATATAAATACCCACGTCTGTCTGTCTGTGCCTGTCTGTCTGTCTGTCTGCCTGCCTGTCTGTATGTATGTGTGTCTGTATGTATGTATGTATGTATGCATGCACTTATCACGAAAGCTAGCCTCAGCTAGCTGAAGTTGCCGCAAGTTATATGACGGGGGACGCGCCGCAGAAAACCTTAAAAACATGATCAAATCAATGTTAACGACCACCCCTCCGGAGGTTCAACTCTTCAACCCTGCGCGCGGTGAGCGTGTGGGCATATGCTGCTGCTGCTGCTGCTGCTGCTGCGTGCTCTGCTGCTTCTTTTTTGAGTTGGCCATGTAGAAGAATAACCAGCGCGAAAGCGTGCAGCACTCCGTTTGAACCGATTTGGAGGCAGTGCGTCATGTCTAGCGTGAACAACTTGGTTTGCTGTTGCAGCTGCTTGGTGTTCTGCTGCAGCTGTTGGGTGGTCTGCTGCTGCTTGGTGGTTTGCTGCTGCTTGGTGGTCTGCTGCTGTTGCTCCTTCTGCTGCTGCTTCTTTTTGAGTTGGCCATGTAGAATAAAAATCGGCGCGCGAGTGGTGCAAAACGAGGGCCACATTTTGAACTCCTGTTGAACTGATTTGGAGGCAGCATTTCATATCTAGCATCAAAATCTTGCTTTGCTGCCACTGCTGCTGCTGCTGCTGGGTCTGCTGCTGCTGCTGCTGCTGGGTGGTCTCCTGTTGCTTGGTGGTCTGCTGCTGCTCCTTTGTGGTTTGCTGCAGCTGCTTGGTGGTTTGCTGCAGCTGCTTGGTGGTCTGCTGCAGCTGCTTGGTGGTTTTCTGCAGCTGCTTGGCGGTCTGTTGCTGCTTAGTGGTCTGCTGCTGCTGCTGCTGCTTGGTGGTCTGTTGCTTGGTGGCATGCGCACGCCTCCCCGCTTTCGTTCACCCCTTCTGGCCTCAAGTATTTATATAAACACTTGGAACCCCACGAGGCCTTGAATCACGGGCAGCGTTTTGTGAGGTCATATGCAAAGACTGCAAAACTGACTCGAACTTCATGCAGGCAGCGTGTTGCATGTCAAGGACCAACGACAGCTAGCTGCGTTATTTATTGAACATGTTTGTTATCTTCGGTACTGTTGACCTACCCCTTCAAGATTTTCCTTCTGATTCAGGGCTTTTGGTCAGATGGCAGCCTTGGCGTCCAGTGGGATGATGGCACGTTCTGGGTGAAGGAAGGGCTTCCCGTGCAGGCCTGTGTTTGTTTGGCCCTGCTTCCGGCATTTTAACCTCAATTCACTAACTCAAATTCTATTTGAGCGTCAGGTCTTGTGATCTCCTGATTGCGAGCTCGGCGTTCACCCTTGCCACGTTGGTGCAATCGGTGATAAAGAGACCGCAATCAATGCACCTCAAGCAATCAATGTATATTGTATACATACAAACACACACACACGCACACACTTTGATATTGGGTTTGCAGTTAACTCAGTTCCCAGGTCGAAAGAAGTGATTGAACCGCAAGGTGAAAGGGTCAGCGCACTTGTATTGTTTGAACAATCTGTTGACATGTCTGCGGCGGCGAGCGTCAGCGCGACTCAGCTGCAGGAAATGCGACAAAGGAAGGGTTTAAGGGAGGTATCATGCAAACCACCATGGAAGCAAACCTCGGAAAAATGGGGTAACAGCTTGTGAAAAAACTCAGCAGGTACGTCGAAAGAGCGTCCTCTCTCGATATCCCAGCCTGAACCTGGAGCTTCGTTGGCTCACGCCAGGAACAGACCTGTGAGCCCCCTGCGTGTAAAAACTCTTGGAGACAGAGTGTGACACACACACACACACTCAGCCGCTTTGCGGCGCTCTGGCGCAAAAACCTAAATAGGCGCCGAAAAAGCCTTAGAAAAGAAAGCAAGAAACACAGAAAGAGCAGCGCTAAAAGGGCAGGAGAGAAAGATAGGTGTCGCGAAAAGTGAATACTTAGCCCTTGACTGGGGCAGGGAAACGAGCCTCAAAAACCACCTAAAAAGCCTGAAAGAAAGCCCAAGAAACGACGAATAACGTAAGAAAGAAAGCGGGGGGCAGGGAGGGGGTGTATGTCCATGTGTGTGTACATGTGTGTGTCTGAATACTTAGCACTCTAGAGTCACCGAATACTTAGCGGAAACTAATTAGGTGCAATAGTTAGGGAGCGGGACTTTAGTCTTAAACCGCCCGGGTAGACTAGACTAGAACAGGGACAACAGAGGGAAAGGCGCCGACGCACAAGTGTGTCGAGTACCATTTCCCTCTGTTACCCTAATTAGGTAGGGAGTAGAGAACTTGGGGGGGGGGTTGCGCGGGGTAATTCTCCGTATGCCCGGCGGCTTTGAATTTCCGTATACCCGGCGGTCGTAAATCCGTGGTGCCCGGCGGCTTGGGTTTTTGAGAATACAGTGGTGAAACGAAAGTCCGTTAAGATAATCCAACCAGTGCAGAAAGCGGGAAAGTCAGTTAGTGGTAATCCGGCATGAAAACAGCGCCCCAGTGACGGGGATCACACTGTGCACCCACGTGGGACGGCGCAGCGGCACACACTTTGATATTGGGTTTGCAGTTAACTCAGTTCCCAGGTCGAAAAAGGTGATTGAACCGCAAGGTGAAAAAGGGTCAGCGCACTTGTATTGATTGAACAATCTGTTGACATGTCTGCGGTGGCGAGCGTCAGCGCGATTCAGCTGCAGGAAGCGCGACAAAGGAAAGGTTTAAGGGAGACATCATGCAAACCACCATGGAAGCAAACAAGGGAAAAATGAGGTAACAGCTTGTGAAACACTCAGCAGGTACGTCGAAAGAGCGTCCTCTCTCCATATCCCAGCCTGAACCTGGAGCTTCGTTGGCTCACGCCAGGAACAGACCTGTGAGCCCCCTGCGTGTAAAAACTTTTGGAAACAGAGTGTGACACACACACACACTTCGACAATGGTATTCAGTTAACTCAGTTCCCACGCTGGGAAGGATGGCGGTGGAACAGCATGGTGAAAGGTTCAAGGACTTGAAGGTGTTTTAACATTGAGGTTTCTCATCTGCAGTGGTGCG